GTTGGAAGAGACCTTAAAACTCCTCCAGCTCCAACCCCTGCCCTGGGCAGGGACACCTTCCACCAGAGCAGGTTGCTCCAAGCCCCTGTGTCCAACCTGGCCTTGAACACTGCCAGGGATGGGGCAGCCACAGTTTCTCTGGGCACCCTGTGCCAGCGCCTCAGCACCCTCACAGTAAATTATTATCATCATAGGTGTATTGCAAATTACATCTGTTTAGATTGCTTAGACCTGCGGGCTATCAGTGCATGGGTTTAAGATGGTGCATTTTAAGATCAGTTCAGCCCAGTTCAACCAATTACAAAAATTTAAACAAGGAAAGGACTAGGTACACTCATGGCAATTTGATGTTTTCATCAGCAATATGAAAACTGGATGTTTAAATATACAACAAGCTTTGCAGATATGTGTGCCTGGTGTGACTGCCATCAAAGAAAGCTTTTTATGTTCTTGCAGGAGCCGGGTGAGCCTGAATCCCAGGTGCTCTATGTGCTTAGAGGTACTGCTCAAAGAAATCAGTGCAGTGGAACAGGCAGATTTGAGGACAGGACTTGGCAGCCATTGTGTCACTGTTAGGCAGTGCTCAAATTCAGACCAGTGAAGCTGGTTTACCAGTTAACTGACTTGGATAGCTCTTTATGAGTACCTAAATATTCCTCTGAAGGAATATTTATAACTTCCCAAAAGAGGCTGCTTGACCATGTGAACACCCGCCTGTCAATGGCCTGTTTCTCTTTTCCCTGAATCCCTGCCATTTATTCTCTGTGACCACCCTCCCTTCCCAGCTGGCACCCACAGTCCCCAGTTACTGCAGACCTTGCCAGCCAGAATCAGTGTTCCTTGTTGGAGTCCTGACCCTGACTGAGGTGCTCAGTCCAAAGAATCTGTTGTCTTGTTTGTGCAGCTCATCCAGGCTGACATTGCTCTCCTCCAAGGCAAGAACCACGCTTGCTTTGAGAGATGTGCATCAATTCCAGCTACCACTTTGCCTCTTCAGTGTCACAGAAGTTTAGATACGAGCCTGAGTTTATGCAGTCAAGGCTGTCTAGAAGGCTGTACCACAGCCTCTCTTTACTCCATGAAAACCTGAAGAGACTGGTGCACTCTTTC